CGATCGCATCCGCATCCTGGGCAGGGCCCCAGTAGCTTGGTCGACAATGGCACCACCACATTAAGAACACCGCAGGGCGCACGCGGCGTCGCCGCCCGGGCGGCAGGTCGCGCCGGCGGCCTCGTCGCGGCGCATGCGGGCCACGCGGTCGTCGAAGAGCCGCGCGGCGTAGCCGTACAGCTCCCGATCCAGGCGCATGCGGGCGGCGATGCGGGCGCGCTCGTCGGCGTCCAGCACGGCGCCGTGGTACGGCTCGGCGCCGCCCGCGCCGGCCGCGCCGGCGCCGCGGCGCGGGCCGCGGGGTGCGCGAGGAGGCGCGCGTCGCGGTCGTGGCTCGCGCGCGCCGCGCGGGTCTTCGACCGCGGGTCGCCGTCCGTCGCCTCGGCCCCCGTCGCGCGGTCCGCGGCCGCTCCGGCGCCGCCCCCCCGCGGCGGCGGCGTCCTCGCCCCGGCGCACGCCCGCGACGAGGGTGGCCTTGGGCAGGCAGAGGGCGTGGGCGATGAGCTGGGCGCTGTCCTCGAGGCGCTCGAAGAGCCCGAAGGCGAGCGCGGCCTCGTCGGCGAGCTCGGCCTCGGCCCGCGGCAGCAGCGCTTCGGGATCCGCGTCGTCGCGCGCGGCCGCGAGCGTCCGGTTGCAGTCGAAGCGGGGCCGGCCGGCGAGGAACTGGGCCTGCATGTTCCACGCGAACGGGTTCCGCTCGAGCCACGCCGACGCGGGCTCGCCGCGCGCGCGGCCCCGGTGCGTCGCTCCGGACGCCGTCCGCGAGCCGCGCCGCGCCGCGCCCTCGACGGGCATGTACGAGAAGCGCATCAGCGTGCGCCAGAGCCACGTGACCGGCTCCCGCAGCACGTGCACCGTGACGACGGCGCCCGGGCGCGCGACGCGCGGCGAGGGCCCGCGGAGGCCCACGCGCGTCTCGTGCTCCGCCTGGCGCGCGCCGCCGGACGCCTCCCGCGCGCGGGAGACGGCGCCGTCGGCCCAGTCCGAGGCGATGTGCGCGCGGCGCTCCGCGAGCGGGAAGTGCGCGTGGCCCGCGCGGTAGACGAGCGTCGCGCGGACCGGCAGCGGCGCGTCGGCACCGCACGCCGCGGCGGAGCATTTCGCGCACGACGCGGCGCCCAAGAGCGCCCGCGCCTCGAGCGCGCGCCGCAGCGCCGTCGCCACGGTCGTCGAACCGCTGTGCGGCAGCGCAAGGTGGTCCACGTGGGCGACCTGGCGCGGCTGCCGCCGGACGACGTCGTCGCCGGCCGTGTCATTGCAGGCGCCGCCGCCGCCGCCAGCCGACGACATGGTCGCTCGAACCAGCAGCAGCGCCGCCGTCGCGACGAGGCCGCCACGAGTTGGTCGCATCGA